GGGGGGGGGGGGCGACCCATCCCCCACCAATCAATCAATCAATCAATCAAAAAAAAAAAAAAAAATCGATGTGTTTTGAGTCTGCTTAGGTTTTTTATTTTTAAAAAATATTTTAAATGCTTAAAAAATCAAACTAAATATGGGGATGTAGAGCGCAAACAAATCTACACCCCCATATTTGTTTTTGTTTTTTTTTTGTTATGTTTTGGCTGCGAAAAAAATGTTTGTGGGCCGCGTTGTACCACGTTCTAACGTGGTTTCAACGGCCGTTGTAGTAACGGCATTTCAACGGCTGTTGTAACGGGGTTTCAACGGTCGTTGAACCTTTCAATAGGAAACCCCCGTTGAATCCAATTTCGGGCACATAGCCCATGTGACCGGGCGCACTTGCCCTGAATGCAAAGTGTCAGGGTCGTGACTTCGTCCTTTCTGGACCTCTCCCGTCCTCCCCCGTGTGACCGGGCACACTTGCCCTGAATGCGAAGTGTCAGGGTTGCGACTTCGTCCTTTCAGGACGAGGTCCGCCCGTGTGACCACACGGGGACCAAATGTCTTAAAAAAGCCGAACCAAATGCCTCAAATTTTTGAGACTTTTGGTCCCCGTGTGAGTATGCCCTCACACTAGCACGTATTTCTGCAAATTTCACGTATGTGAATTTGTGTTTATATGGCTCCTGCAGGTCACACTGCTCACTCGTTTGTTGGCCGAAGCAGAAAGGACAGGGTTGCGACCTGGCCTTTAGATGCGAAAATGCGTTGTGTGCAAGCAGACAGCACAATGCACTTCAAAATATTTTTTTTTGCTTCCAGAGAGCAGTAGAGGAAAAAAAAATACAATTTTCGCAAAATATGTAAGCCCACGGCTGTCCAGGGAGCTGACATTTACGTGCCCTTTTGTGTGAACACGCAAAATACGTGCCTAGTGTGACCCGGAAAACCACATAAAATTTGTGATTTTGCGAAAATACGTGCTAGTGTGAGTATGCCCTGACACGAGGAATCGGCGTTTACCGCGCATTCCAACGCACCACCTGCGGAGTAGTAGCACTCTGTCGCGGCCTTCTCACCAGGCGCCATGATGGTTGATGAACCTCGCTGTAAGCCGGGACCAGGTGCAATTTGTCATCCTTGTCCACATATATGTGAAGACATGACGAGTGTTCGAGGCCCCCTTCTCCATCCGGTCATTCCTTAGTTCGACCACCATCATTCCGTGTTCAGCCTCAACCGTTGGATGTCCTGCAAAGAGGAAATAGCGACGGATACGTGCTTGTCCGATAAGTTCACATCTTTGTCCACACGTGAATTGATGGCCCGAACGGGCGCTCGAACCAGCCAATTCCTGCTGTTGGAGATACGCTTGAGCACCTGACTGCACGATGTCCCCTTGGACAGACACTGCAGTCTTACACCACTCTGTGTGTGTGTGTGTGTGTGTGTGTGTGTGACTATGAAGACAAAGCAAACGTGTGTGATCGATGAAGATGACGACCGAAGAAAAGGGAAGGCGCTTTGGTCTGCTATTTTTAATCGACGCCATGTGAAGTAGGATACGTGATATTCCCCGGGCACACACAGGGCCTCGCCACACCACTCCCGACTTGGGAAAATTTTCGGGAGTGCTCCCGGAAGTGAAAACCCGCTCGGGAGTGCCTTTCGCCACACTACACTCCCGACCAGGCCGCGCTCAAAGTATGAAAACGTCCTTTGCCACATATGGACACGATCAGCGTGAAGCAGTCTGGCAGAAGTCGTTTGTCCCTTCCACCTCCACTCCCGAATCTGGGATGAAACTCGGAGGAGCCAAGGAGATCTCTCGAAAGAAAAGCTTTGGATTGTGTCGAAACGGTGAATGTCGAAAATGGTCTGACGAAGCGCCAGTTAGCGACGCGATACGCTATTCTCGGGCAATCCTACCAGAGACGGTAGGGTAGTACCTGAAAATAGCTGTGAGGAAATCAGGTGTTGATGTCACCACCTCGCCCTCGGGGTTCCCGAGGGACGGGTTCGGGGTGACTCGCTCCTTGTCGTAGCTTCGTCTGCAGTGAGTGCGACTGGAGGAATACCAGCTGCTAGGAACGTTCATGTGACTTCGAGATTTCGGAGACCCGTTCGTCTGCAAGAAGCTTGGCTGTCGAAATGATGGAGCGAAGACTCACTCTTGTTTTCGGCATGCAACCAGTGCGCTGACCAAGCCTTGCCCTCCTCTAGAGGGCTCAAGATGCAGGTATAACCCGACCCCCCTCTCTACGTATCTTTTCCTGGGTGGATGAGAGAATGATTGAGTGCTGGTTTATCCCTAATTTATTGGAAGCTTCTCTTAGTTATACTAATTGGTTGTGTGTACTTAGTTTAGTTTATTAAAATTAGTCGTACCTAGCCGATAGAACGTGCACAGGCCTAACCATGGCGACCGACAAGGTTCCCCCTGCGTTCTCGCCCGATGAAAAGGATCGAATCCGGGAAATTCTCTCCAGGTGCTACATCGATGGAATTCTGCCACCTCGACTTGCCCCTTCAGAAGTAGAGGTGGGAGAAGATTACGTGAAGGTTATAGTTAACCCGAAAATCTACAAAATTCAATCAAAATTGTTGCTCAAACACACAGTCACCATCCTTTTCGATGATGAATCCTCATCGGTTTCGACAGACGTTAAAAAACGGCTGTTCCGAATCTATGAGAATGGGTGGGCCTCGACTTCTAGTCAAGGTTCTGCCCCCCTCAAAAGAGGCATGTTTCATAATGAGGGATGCAACCTGATTACCTACATTGCTCCCTCAAAGGAGATATGTAAATGAATGCTGAAAATGGTTGAAACCACGATTGAATTGGACCACGTCAGACACAAAGTCTCGTTCAAACTGTGGATGACAGAACATGAACTCTGGGAGTGGAGGGAGATCTCCAAGCACCGGTTCTTCTGGATTCGTTGCCAGCAAGTCCCGGTGGGAGTTCTCCCCCTCCTCCCAGGGGCAGTAAGGGATGCTTATGGCTGCGAGTTCATCAAGGAATATCCTACCTTCAAGGACAAGTTGGAACCAGATCTACTGTGGGCGTCTCCGTTCCAAAAAATACCTGGTGGTGGACTTGGGCCCGGGGGGATATATCGAATTGGAAGTAGTTCACGCTGAAACCCCTTGGTGCCCAAAATGCAGGCGTCATTTTCACAACGAAGGAGACGAAGATTGCACCGCCCGTGGTAAGAAATCCTATGCAAAAGCAGTCGTGTCCAAAGAGGACAAAAGCCAGGGCGTGCAGGATGGTGATAAAGGGACAAGTATTGGAGAGAAGGATGCGGGGAAGGGTTGGGATCGGGGGTGGAAAGAGAAGGTGAAGGAAAAAGAGAAAAGTCCGCCCCAGGTGGAAAAGGGAAAGGTACCTACCCCAGATAAGCCGGATAAGTCTAGGGTAAGGGAGAAGGAGGGTGAAGAGAAGGGCATAGTTCCTACCAGCAAAAAAAAGGAACAGGAAGTTACCCCAGAGGGGAAGATGACTATCAATCCCTCCGCTGAAGTGATCAAGATGGATGAGGAAAAGGGTAATCTCAGGGAATTTTTAATTCCACTGGTAATCTCTCCTTCTGCATATGGCCTAATGTTTCTGACCACCAGAGACAATGAGGAGACATTGTCCCTTGCAGGGATCCCTACCACGGGCCCCCCCGCTGACTCGACTTGGATCTCAGAAATGGTAAAGTAGATCCTGTTGGGTAATGGTTCTTGTGCAATGGTCCCCTCCCCCAAAAGAGGGAGGCACAATGGCACATTGCAACGAATGAGCAGCTGAGGACAATAGAGTTATTCTCCATATACCCTGTATACTGCTACAAGCAGACCAACTGGAGATGGATAAGTTGTACATTCTGAGAGTGAAGCCAGACTTTACATCTTGCCTTTTTGAATCTTTTATTTCCATCTCCAAACCCTCGCACATTCCAGGTTAGTAGCCTGATTCTACTTGGTAGAACCATGACCAGAGCCCCGGTCGCGAGGGTTTTGGATACGGTTATTAACGAGCTTCTTGATTAACATCCCCCTTCCTCTTTGTTGTTGGGGAGAAGCTTCCTGAACCCCAGTATCTGAGTTTTCTTTAAAACTTATTTTTTTAATGAACTCTTCCGAAGGAAAGTGTCCACCCCGTCGGTATTCTGTAACCAGCGTCCCACTTCCTATGCCGTCAACTCTTCCGGTAGACAGATATCCAACAGAGAGTCTGAGTTGGGGCCCGCGTACGTGTGTATGGCCCGTACGCCTAAGGCGACGGGGGGTCCAGACGAGCGCTGCGGGCGGCGGGCCTTTTTCGGKGCGTCAGGGGGKGGGGGGCRGGGGGGGGGGGGCGGGGGGGGGGAAGGCGCCGGCGACCCGGGGGGAGGGGGCTAAGAACGGCCGTGTACACATATAGGGGGCACAGATGAGGTTGTTTGCTCCTGACTTTGCGGGGTCTGTATAATGGCACCCAGGAAAGGGAGGGGAAAGCAGCAGTTTGTCCCAGTCAGTAAGGACACACAAAGGGAGGTGGAGCTCAAGTTTTGCGGTCTCAAGTGGATCACAAAGGGGCAAACAATGCCGCACTCCAACGGGAATTTTCTCATGGAGTGCAAATTGCATGGCCAGGGGTTTCAGGGAAGTCAGACGAAGGCCGCACAACACTTCACAATAAAGAAAAACTGTGCTAAAGTCTCCGCGGAGCAGCTCGCGGAGATTTGGAACAAGACGAAGTACTCGTTCGATCACAGCCACCATCGGAAGATCCTCGACTTCCTGAGGTCTTGTGGGTTTCGAGACAATAGAAATACTTCGGGGAGGGAGCAGGCGGGGGAGGAGGAGTACGACGACAGCGAGGACGAGAGGAGGGCGGCCGAGGGGGGAGGTGATGATGGTGACAGCGATACACAGGACATGGACGTGGGGCGAGAGGTGGAGCGCGGCAGGGATAAGATGAGGGGGGACAAGGCCGTTGAGGAGGACACTACCCTGGACGAGGACGACGACGACGACGATGACGACGAGGATCAGGCCGCAGACATTGGGGTCTCTCTTGATGGGGGGCTGATGGCCGCTGGCCGTCGAGGCCAAGAGGGGGCTGCCAAAGCGATGAAGGAGGCCACGAAATCGAAGAAGAGAAAGAGGAAGGCAAAGAAGACCATCACAGAGGCGACACTAGCACCTCCTCTGCCGAAGAAGGGCAGAGTACTTCGACATCCATCCATGGTGGAGACCTTCGATCCGGTGTGGCAACGAGAGTTTTCGAACTTCTACCTGCAGTGGTGGAACGTGAGCGGCATTCCATTTGAGGCGGCGAGGAGGTCGGAGTACCAGCAAGTGAGGAGGCGGTTGCTCGACTGTCCGCCGTACACACATCCTGTGTTTCCCACACACCGTGTGATTTCCGGCGATGGCATCCCAGAGCAGCAGCAAGTTGTGGTGAAGATGGTGGCGGCTGTCCGCAAGGATATTGCGGCGACGGGAGCGGATGGTCGCAAGTCCATCACAAGCGACCAGATAGTCAACTTCCTTGCTGCTGGGCCCACGGGCTATGAATTCCCCTGGGCGGGGGCCAAGCGCGGCCGAATCCGCGGACGCGGCCAGGCCGCCGACCCCGCGGACGAGGACGCGTGACGCGTGGCTTTGAGGCCACATGGCTGCCAGTGGGGAGGGGGGTT